CACACACACACACACACACACACACACACACACACACACACACACACGAGAGATGGCTCAGAGGTCAAGAGCACTTGGCTGCTCTTCCAAAGGTTTTCAATTCCCAGCAACCACATGGTGGCTCATCAACCATCTATAATGACATCTGGCGCCCTCTTCTGGCCTGTAGGTGTACATGCAGACAGAACACTGTATACATAATTAATAAATAAACAAATCTGTTTAAAAAATGCCAGATAGTGATGATGAACACCTTTAATCCCAGCACTTGGGAGGCAGAGGCAGGCAGGTCTCTGTGAGTTTGAGGCCAGTGGGGGTCTACAAAGTGAGTTCCAGGAGAGCCAGGGTTACACAGAGAAACCTTGTCTTGAAAAATCAAAATAAATTCATGAATGAAAAAATGAAAAATAGCCTGGAGAGATGGCTCAGCAGTTAAGATCACTCACTGCTCTTGCAGAGGACCCCAGTTTAGTTCCCAGCTCTTATGTTCACAACCATCTGTGACTCCAGTTCTGGGGATCTGATGCCCTCTTCCAGCCTCTGAGGCCATTTTATATATATATATGTATATATACCCACATATATATATATATACATATATGTATATATATATGTATATATATATATATGGTGCAAGCACATACAATCAGGCAAACATTCATACGCATGAAATATATGCAAATAAATATTTAAAAAAGATATAGGTAACAATTTCTGCTTTTTAAGGGTCTCTTGTGCTGAAGATACACAAATATTGAATTCATCAAAGCCAGCACGAAGTATTTTAGGTTTTGTGAGTCACAGGGCTTCTGCCACTGTATGATGAGCGTACTCACAGATGTGCACATATGAGCGAATGCGGCTGAGTTCAAGAAAAGTGTGCTTTTGTTTTTTTAAAGAGGCAGGCTGGAGTTAATACACGGGCCCAGATCCTGTCTTACACCAACAGAACTTTCTATGATGATAGAAATTTCTACCCTATCTGGTCCTATATATATATAGTGAGTTGGATAATACTGAATGCCAGTGTGACAGGATCTAGAATTATCTATGAGACAAATCTTCAGGCACACATGTGAGGGGTTGTTTAGATTAAGTTAGCCTCTGAGCGTACCTGTGAGATATTGTCTTGATTAGTTCAATTAAAGGGAAAGAAGCAGCACAGGTGTTCCTAGAGTTACAGGTGTTTGTCAGCCACCTGATGTGGGTGTTGGGAATTGAACTCTGTCCCCTGGAAGAACATGCGCATTGCAGAGCCTGAGGGAGGGAGGGCAAACCCCAGGCCCAGGGGGGCGGTCTGTACTTACTGCCTTCAGAGACGTGATAAATTCCTCCCTGGGTATTCGCTGGTTCTCACCCCGATCCCCCTTGTTAAATATGTCCAGGATCTTGAGCTTTCGACTCCGCAGGTAGGTGTACAAGTCAGACAGGGCAGGGGGCTTGGGCAGTAGCAGCTGGGGTGCGTGTTGTCGGATAAATTTGGAAGCTAGATACTAAAAGGGGCAAGAGTGGGGCAGACCACTCAGATGTGCATATCCCAAGCCCTCTTGTTACACCTCAATCTAACTTCAGGACCCAAAGATGGACCGGGGGGGCAGGATGAGCTCTATGCCTTTGTCCCTGTTCTTAATGTGGCCACACTGTTCTTTATATAATTAGGCTGCTTTAATTGGCTTATTGAGGATGGGTGGCTGAACTTTGGTTTGCAGGGTACAAACTATGGTTCCAAGTTAGGTAATGCTATCACAGGATGGGCCCCTCCTTACCTAACCTCATAGTCGTGATCCCCAAATTAGCCATTAGCCCAGAAGCACTGGCTTAGCACCTGTCTCCTCCAGCAGACAGGTGTCCATTATCAAGACAGACTGCTAGTGTGTCCCAGCTGGGGTGCTCTTAAAGTATGTCCACATAGTCTCTGGCCTTCCCCCTGCCAAGATGGACTCTCCTTTCCATCCCCACAGTGTAGGCAGTACTCATGGCTCATTCTGCCATCAAGACCAGAGCCTAGCGCATAACAACACTATGACTTCCTCTCCCTCTGTTCTGGAAGGCTCACTTCGGGGACAGTTAGCTGCCTTCTTGTGAGTACTCATATGCAGCCTCTGGGAGGTCCCTGAGGGAGGCATTGAAGCCTCTGATCAACACTTGAACAAGCTTGGTCTGCTTTCCTGCCCTGGTCAATTCACAGCCTGTCCTCATGACATGGAGACAAAACCGCCCAGCTAGAGGGCGCCTAGAGTCCAGAGTCACAGACATAGCTGTATGCAATGAAAAGCATCTGTTTCTTTAAGTGACTCTGGGGTGTTTGTTACACAGCAGCAGATAACTCAAACACCTTCCTTTGGGGACTTGGTTTTGCTACTCTGTAAAATAGGGCAAACCACCTTGTCCTGTCAAACCCAAGGAAACAAAATGACAACTCACTCCTGGAACCTTCAGCATCTTCTGGCTAGGGATTTTCACTTCGGTTGTACTGACTGAAGTCTTCAATTCTTTGGAGGCTTGTTTTTCCTGGCGAATCATGAGCAGAACCTTGGCCTCTGATGGTGTGATGCGGGGCTTGTTCTTCACCCATGTCTTGACATCACCAAATGACTCCACTTGACTCCGCAGCTCTGCCCTCTGCTTCAGCCAGACCTTCCTGTCCATTGGTGGCTCTTGGATATCTTCACTATCTAGAGCTTTAAAGCTAGGTATGGGTGGAGGGGGAGCTTGAGGCAGGGGCTTGGGGTGGGCTGGCACCTGGTCCTTTGTGCCAGACACAATGATGATCCGCCGGCGTCTCTGTGGCAGGTGGAAGTTTTTCTTCTTCAACCACCTGAAGCAGTGGGCAGTGACCAGCTCAGGCTTGAAGACAGGAACCCGGCTGGTGGCATCATCAAAGTCATCATCTATGGAGGTGTGTTGATATAATGTTCTTATGGAATGTATACAATTTACCCTTATTCATTCAAATGCTGATTTCTCTCCCCCACTATCTGGTTTCAATCCAGGACATTGCATTGCGATGCTTATTCTAAGCATCACCTGTCTCAAGTTTGTGTAAACATGCCATCATTTGTTCTCTGTAATTGTCAATTAAACAACCAGCCAGTGCTGTGCAATGGAGAGCCTAGGGAGGGACATCCTGGTCTGGAGGGGAGGAGAAGGAAGCGAGTGGGAGTAGGAGGAGGCAGAGATCAGGAGGACAGGACTAGGAACCGTGAGGAGAGATGAACCAGACCTAAGATATGACTAAAAGCAAGTATAATGGGTGAAATCTGGATGGTAGGAAACGATGGAGGTTGGGCTTGGAGGTTTAGGATGGAATAACTATTGCCCAGCATTGTGCTCTAGGTTAATTAAATACATCCTAGTCTCTGTGTGGTGATTTGGGTATACAGCTGGTTTAGGAATAACCACTGCTTAACTAAAAGATAAATCAATATTAAATATTAATAACCCACAAAAGAGGTGAAAGACCGGAAGGCTCCTTGGGGGAAGAGGGTTATAAAGGGAGTTCATTTTTGGAAGAGGGCTAAAAAGAGCCAGGAAAGGGAAAAACTGTTGCAGGAGCTGGTTGTGTATCACGGTGCCTGGTCTCTGGGCAGGCTGTATCACCGCATCACAATGGTGAGGAAAACGATGTTATCTAATGTGACCTACACAGCAACAGAAGGCATGAAGCAAAGGGCTTTCCAGTCTCTGATTCCTATTGCACTCTGCTTGTGCTCCCAGAATCCACCTGGCCCTGCCTGACCATCCTAGGCACCACAGCACCCTCTGGTGGGAGCAAAGGCTTGATCCAGAGAGCTTGGCTCTTGAGTGTTGGCCTGCTTCCTGCTCAGTCTGTCTCATTTTTTTCTGTCAGATGGGGATAACAAGATACCTAATTTATCAGGTGATGGAGATGATTATTAGATGATGATTATTGTTTTGTATGTAAGTTTATATATATATATATATATATATACACACACATATATGTCCATATGTACGCATACATACACATATCTACATTCACTACATATAAGTTCTCTTCTTTGTGGTGCTAAGACTTGAACCTAGGGCCTTGTGCTTGCTGGAGAAGTACTGTGTCATTGAGCTATGTTCCTCACCCCCAACTTGTAATGACATAGCAGGTGGGCGGGCGAAACGGCTCCGTGGATAAAGGTGCTTGCTGCCAAGACAACCTGTGGACAAATCCCTGCAACCCACATGGTGGAGAGAGAGAACAGGCTCCCACAAGTTGTACTTTGGCCATATCTGCACCATGGCACAGGTCCTCCTCTACTTGCCGAAATAAATAAATGTGAGAAAAAAAAGAGAGGGGTTTGGAGGGATGGCTCAGTGGTTAAAAGCACTGGCTGCTCTTTCAGAGGATGTGGGTTCGATTCCCACACACGTGGTAGTGCGCAACATTCTGTAACTCTAGCTCCAGAGACTCTGGGGCCCTCTTCTGTTCTCCAGGAGCACTGCACACACACTGTTCACAGACATATATGTAGGCGAAGCCTCCATACTCATGAGAGCTACAGCAGAGCCTCCGTGCTGCTAACGGAGATAAGTCAGGCATCCTGGGACCAAGCCACCCTTCCTCCCAAGAAGGAACAGGCTGTACTGTCTCACAGCTGACCTGCCCTTTGTCTCATGCTTTTCTAGAACTTTTAAGTCTGACACACTGGGAGAGAATTGGTTATTTTCTCTTTTCAGTTTGGCTAACTCGTAAATAAACCCATTTTTTTCCCTTACTGGGTTTCATTTCTTAACTTCCTTTTGAATACAGGGGTGCTCAGATAGTAGGTTACAAACCTGAATACCTGGTGACAAAATCTACTCATCAAGAAGCCTTCCCTTGACAGAACAAGAGGTCCATTATCTTCCCCTGCCAGCCCACACAGACTTACTAGCAATCCCATTTCTCCTTTCAGTGCCACAGGCACTGGTCCCCTCTGTCCCCTCAGTGACTGAAGGAAGCCTCATCCTACCAAGGGTTTGCCAGCTGCTTTTCCCTCTGCCCCGTATCTCTTCCTACCCTCCTCATCTTCTCAGCCTCAGACCACACCTCAGCTCACAGTTGGAGCCCCTGGCAACTCTGCATACATTGATCCGTGTGCTCCTTCATGCCACCATCACCATCTGTGTTGGCTGGTTTTATGTCAGCTTGACATAAGCTAGAGCCCTGTCAGGAGAACCTCAACTGAGAAAATGTCCCCAACCAGACTGGCCTGTGGGGAAGTCTGACATTTGTTTTCCTGATCGATGATGGATGGGGGAGGGGACCCAGCTCACTGTGGGGTAGTGCCACTTCTGGGCTGGTGGTCCTGGGTGCTATGATAAAGCAGGCTGAGCAAGCCACAAGGCGAAATCAACAAGAGGCACCCTTTCATGGCCTTTGCATCAGCTCCTGCCCTCACTCCCCTGAATGACAGAATACAAACTGTAAGATGAAATAAACCCTTTCCTTCCCAAGTTGCTTTTGGTTGTGGTGTTTTATCACAGCCATAGAAAAGTAAATAAGACACCATTCCATGCAGTCAGGCTGCACGCTGGTGCCCCTCCTTCTGTTGGCCAGATTGCTTAAAAGGTCTCCAGCTGAGTTTCTGTAACCTGGACATGGTCTCTCCAGCTTGCAGTACCTCCCACGCTCCCCCACGCTCCCCCCCCCCTTCCCCCCCATTTCCTGTTAACTAAACTCAGTTCATTTAGTAACTGCTTAAGGGGAGCATTTCTGTTTGCTACTCCCAGTACAATGACTTGTTTTTGGTTTTTGTTTTTTTCCTAGGAAACAGCACTATAAAGACCAGGCCCTTGGCTGTGTCTGTCGTACTCTCTGCTGGAGTCTTGGCTCTACCACAGTGCTTACATATATTGGGAACTCAGTGAATAGTTCATGAATGACTAATGTAGACATGGGGCTGGTGCTATGACTGGGCATATTTTTCAGATAGAGACACTGAGGCCCAGAGAGGCCCAAAGCCACTGGGTTGATGACTAGTAGAGCTTAATTAGCCCCACAGGCAAAATCTTTTGTTTTAGGATTTCTCTTTACGTGTGTGAATGTTTTGCCTGAATGTATGTATGTACACCACATGTGCAGTACCCGCAGAGGCCAGAGGGTGTTGAAATCCATGGAACTGGGGTTATAACTGGTTGTGAGCCTCTGTGGGGGTGCTGGGAACTGAACCTGGGACCTCTGCTACAGCAGTGCTCTTAACCACTGAACCATGTCTTAAGGCCCCAGAGCCAAGCTCATAGCTATTTGCTGTAACCCAGCTGTCACTTGATCTTCATATCTCAAGTTTTCCATTTCTAAATGGTGTATGCCATCATCAACCGCCCCCCTCCCCCAGGTGTGGGGATTGGACACAGAGCAATGTCGCTGGCCCCTCACCTGGATTTGTACCAACAGCTCTGGCTGGCTCATTGCACTGGCAGCCCAGCTCACACGCAGACTGCCTCCTGCGCCCTCAGCCAGTTATCTCTAACTTTCTTCCCAGACCCAGCTCAGGCAGCACCATCCCTTTAAGTCCTCCCAGCTCTGCTTTTCCATGCCTCTGGGTCCCCTACAGCCCCCACATTTAGTTCCACCATAGCTTGGTTTGAGCCAGGGTCTTATCAGGTAGGCTAGGACGCCTCACTTTCCCAAATGATGGGATGACAGGCTGTCATCACCAAGGCTGGTGGAGTCAACACTCCTCCTGCCGTGGCCTAAAGCTCTTTGCCCCTCTCCCCCATCATGATTTCTCACCCACCTTGATATTTTTGTCTACACTGCTCCTTTCTGCTCAGTCATGTCTCCTCACTCCTTGCCTAGCCCTTGGCTTCCATTTACCCAGTTGCTGTGTGCTTCAAAGTGCATGGTGTTCCCTGAGGCTTCTGTTCCAGCCCTTCCCATGGTGTGGTTCACAGTAAGGGTGTGGTGGTTTGAATAAGAATGGTCCCATGGGCTCAAATGTTTGAATACTCTGTCACTAGGAAGTGGAACTGTTTACAAGGATTAAGAGGTGTGGCCTTGTTGGAGAAAACGGGGATGGGCTTTGAGTTTCGTCCTGTCCCGTGTTCCCCGGCTCCCCAGACAGGGTTTCTTCTTTGTGTGGCCTAGCTGTCTTGGAACCAACTCTGTAGACCAGGCTGGTCTTGAACTCAAAGAAATTCACCTGCCTCTGCCTCCTGAGTGCTGGGATTGTGATGGAATGCGAACACCATCACTGCTCAGTGGCTTTGAGATTTTCAAAGCCTGTGCCAGTCCCGGTCTCTCTCTCCTAGTGTAAGCTCTCCACTACTTTCCCAGCACCACACCTGCCTGCCACCGTGCTCCTTGTCATGACGATAATGGGTTAAGCCTCTGAAACTGTAAGCCTGCCCCAATTGAATGCTTTCCTTCTTAAGAGTTGCAGTGAAGAGTTGTGTCTCTTCACAGCAATAGAACAGTGAGTAAGCCGACAGGTGTCATGCAGCCATGTTCTTGCAGGGGGCCCGCTTCCGCCACCCGCTCTTCATGGCGCTTCTTCCCTAGGGCTCTTTAGGGCTGTGACCATGACAGAAGGTGGTTTCCCGCACTGATGGGCCGCTGTCCCCATCAGAAGGGATGGCGGAATTGGAAGGGAAGGCACTGTATTTCAGCTCCTGCCCAGGTCAGGTGCACTCTCTGATGTCAGTGGCTGTCAGTGCCTGACTCTGCTTCTGCTTGTAGGCTGCCAGGAACACAAAGAACTTCACTGTGGACCCTGAGTACTGGAGGAGACTCCATTCACTGACCCACTTGTGTTTCTCAGGAGCGGCTGTCAGAGAGCCCTAACTCTGCTTAGCACACATACTCCTTTTATGACCCACACCTCAGCTGCTGCCTCCCTTTTGGGCCACCATCCTGGGCTCCTGTGGCCCTGCTGGTTCCTAAGCGTCAGGACGGCCTCTTTCCCACTCATCTCCGTGCCGACGAGCCTATCGCAGCACTGCTGAGCATCTGGACAACTTCTCACTTGACTAGTTTACAGGTCCTCCAGAAACCAGGACTCATTTAACCTTCTATCTCCATGAAAAGCACTCTCACTTACCAAAGACTGTGAAGGTGAATGTCGAGCGACTGACTTTTCCCTCCTTAGCTTTCAGGGCCTCCTCTACACTGTTTTCCTTAGAGTATCTGCTCAGCTTTTTGAGCATTTCCTTAAGTTGGGTCAGGGAAATTTGGCTAGAAACAGCCTCTGTCGGTGAAGCCTCAGGTGGGGGAGGAGGAGGCTTTCGGAGAATGCCGCTCTTCGGGCCCACAGCCCCCACTGCTCTTCTCATCTCTCTGCTCCCACTACCTCTCAAGCTGCAGTCTTTTGAGAACTTGGCTGGGGACAGACAGCCGGCTTCTCCAGGTCTCTTCAATATAGGAGACATTGTTGCTCAACTGAGAACTATACAGGGTCCCAGGCACAAGAGCCCCGGCTCCGATTCCAAGCCAGGTGACTTGGCCTGCTCCTCCAGAGAGGTCTGGGAATAGGAATCCTGAAGAGTTCCTGGCCTTCTGGAACTCCTGGCAACCCCTCCCGCAGAGCAGAAACCGCACAATGAAGCTTCCAGCCTTTCCCGGCACTCTCCAATGGTTCTGCCGCGGGGAGCTGGCGTGTTCCTACAAACGGCGCTGTGCGGTGCGCCCCAGGCTTAGCCACTTGGTGCAAACCAGCTTCAAGTTTTGCAAAAGGTAACTAAAGTTGCTGAGCAAGTTAAGTTCCTGTTGCCATAACTACAGATGCCCTACACGGATTGGCTGAGCGCGTCCACGTGCTGGGGAGAACTCCCCTCCCAACCAAGCCCCCCCCCCCCCCCCCCCGGAAGCCAGGAGAGTCGGAGATTTGCTTAGCTCTGGGTTGGTGCCACCTGCGAGGAATCATGCCTATGCCCCATTCTTTCCATGGCTACTGATTTTGAAATGAAAATTCCCCTATTTTTTTTGTAAGCTGCAGGATCTTGACAGATCTCATCTTTAGGCTTCACTTTTCTCATTCAAAAAGAATATGGCACTCAGTTGGGTTGTGAGAACCCTAGTCAGTCAAGGTCAAATAAGTGACAGGTGTTTGGGTGCTATGACTGAGTGCTGTGGTCTGGAACCAGTTATGGTGGCACACGCCTGTATCCCAGTGTTCAGAGATGGGCCTGGAGGATAGACATAAGTTTGAGGCCAAGCTTGTGTCACATAAGGAGTCGCAGGCCAGGCAGAAACAGAGACTGGCAACCAGTCCTAATAATAAACCTTTAAATGTCCACTCATGGGTAAAATATGGCGAGTGCATACAAAGATGTATGACCCATGCTACACGGGAGACTCCACTAAACCGAAGAAGCCAGACTCAAAGGCCTCACACTGTAGGGTTCCAATTATATGAAATGCACAAAACAGACCCACAAAGTCAATTGCTAGTGACCAATGGGGAGAAAGGACTAATTGTCGGCTACAATGGGGTTTCTTTTTTGGGTGATGAAAATGTCCTAGAATTGGCTAGTGCCAATTTACTGCACAGCACTGTAAATGTGCTAAACACAAAACAAAACCCACTTCATCAAAGACCTAAAAATTTATTTTGGCCAGGTAGGGTGGCACACAGGAAGATCTCTGTGAGTTGGAAGCCAGCCTGGACTACAAAGAAAAATCCTGTCTCAAAAAACCCAAACAATTTTGTACTTCTGGGCACTGAGCCCTAGGCCTTGTGCATGCAAGGCAAGCACAACTGTTGAACTACACCCCTGACCCTAACGTCACAAAATAAAGATCAACATTTGAACCAGTTCTCTGTGCCAGGAACCACCTTCACCAGATTTAACATCTCCCTAACCCCCTGCAACCTGAGGCACTTGCTCTGATTGGCCCTTCTGAGCCACATCATTTAAACACAAAACCATGAGAACAAGGCAACCTGATGTCACTGAGATATGAGGAAAGGTATACAGGTCAGATGATCTTATCTGCTGAGAGGGAAGAGGCCCGCCAGGACCCCCAGCTGTCCGGCTGGGCAGAGCTCCCCTCCACGGTGACAGTGGGGAGGAGTTCTGGAAGTGGCCCTGTCCTGCAGCCTTACCTCAGAGCTGATGTTTGCTCTACCACCCAACCTTGGCTGTGGCCCAGGGGTCTAAGATTTCTCTGTATTCTGACCTGATTGTGTCTGGGTGTCCATCCTCATCCCTTTTTTTTTTTCCCCTCTGTCTCCCTGGGAGGTCTGTTCAGAACCTTT